AGTTTTTTTTTAATGTTGATCCAAAAGGGTACAAGAGACTTTCAAAGATATTCGCTCTAAACTAAAAATTTGGTTTGATCACCTAGGTCTGAACAGTTACAAGAATAATTAATAAGTATATTAATTACAAATAATTATTATATATAATTGTATTGATTATTAATAATATTCAAAAATAATATGTGACATAGGAAATTGAATTTTTTGGCTATAAAATATGGTTATTTTAGAAAAATCAATATTCTCATTGAAGCTCAAATTGAACTCATGAATCTTATGTTAATAATGTGTATTTACATGGAGATGTGTGGCACTGTGGGTTAATGCGCTGCACTGAAAAGTCGCTTAGAACAGCAAGGTCAGCAGTTCAAACTCACCAACCACTCCTCAGAAACTCTATACAGGGGCGCTATAGGTCGGAACCGAGTCAATGGCACTTAACAACAACACAGCTATCGAGGTAAATATAGAAATACATATAGACATACAGTGATAGGCATAGATATAAATGAACATCAGAGATAGACTGTTTTTAGTGCCATCGATTTGGTTCTGACTCATAAAGACCCTGTATAGGGTTTCCAAGGAGCAGCTGGTTTGAATTGCCAACCTTCTGGTTCATAGTCCAGGCTGATACTACAGCACCCATAGGAGCCTAGGTATTACAAGCAGTTTGCATGAATTACTGCTAATCAAAAGATGGGCGGTTCAAATCCATCCAGCAGCTCTGCCAAAGACAAAACCTGGCATCTGCTTCCATGAAGACTACAGCCAAGAAAATCATGGGGAGCAGTTTTTCTCCACAACGCTTGGGGTCGCCACTCTACAGCAATTCACAACACTAACAGCAACATACTAATAGATAAAGGTATCACAGTCACGAGTTCCTTTCTTGGTAAGACAAAATCAGGTCCTTTAAGTACAACTTACTTCTTGCAGATTCCTTGTAATAAAAAACAACAATGGAGAATCCTAGGACCTCTGGTAGCGTAGTAGTTACGAATCGGGCTGTGAACCTTAAGGTCAGCAGTTCGAAACTACCAGCTGTTCGGCGGGAGAAAGATGAGGCTTTCTGCTCCCGTAAAGATTTACAGCCTCGGAAACCCTGTACAGGGTCGCTATGGGTCGGAACCGACTTGACGGCACTTAACAACAACAACATGGAGAATCCTGGTGTGGCGCTGCGTTTAATGTGCTGGACTGGAAGGTTGCTTTGGTCGGAGTTTAAGCTCATCAGTCGCTCCTCGGAAACCCCATGCAGGATCGCTATGAGTCGGAAGTAACTCCTCGGAACTTAAGGATAATAACAGAGACTCAGAAATAGGAGGGAGAAAAAGAATTTCTGCTAGTTGTCTCTATGAATCTGCCTCCTTGCCATGATACCAGAAGAACTGGATTGTGCCTGGCTACCATTATGAACATTTTCAAAATCAAAGATTCTAAAGAAACATCCTGATCAAAAGGAAGAAAATGCAAAACAGAATCTCAAATTCTCATGGACTCTAGACTTTCTGGAGCCATGGTGGGTAAATGGACCCCTGAAAGTATTGTTCTGAGATAACCTTTACACTTTAAACAAAAATAAATAATAAAATTCTCTGAACTCTTCTTAAAACAAAACAATATTTTACTCAGGTGAAAAATGCCTGCCTAAGCATTGCCCTCTTCAAAGAGCTATCTTGTTGTTGTTAAGTGCCGTCGAGTCGGTTCCGACCCATAGCGACCCTGTACAGGGTTTCCGAGGGTGTAAATCTTTACGGGAGTAGAAAGCCTCATCTTTCTCCCGCGGATCGGCTGGTAGTTTCGAACCGCTGACCTTAAGGTTCGCAGCCCGATTCGTAACCACTACGCTACCAGAGCTCCTAGATGGGGTCAAATGGGCACCAGTGACTCAGAAGATTAGATAGCAATCAGAGAGAGAATAATGAGTTTATTGGGAAAGAATCAACTAAGAAAAGGAGGGTGAAAATGCTTTTATAGCACAAAGAATATAGTCAATATAACCGAATTAATCATCCATGCAGAAACTGTTGAATTGGTATGTGTTTTGCTGCGAATATTCTCAGCAACAACAAAATAACTAAATAAAACAGAAAAAAAAATTTTTTTTAATCCATACCACAGGAAAAATAAATACATAAAAATCACAGTGAAAAAGTAACTGAAATAGATTTTAATCCCAACACAATACCAAAACTAATTCTTAATCTAAGCACAAATTATTTATTTCTTTCACAGCATATAAATCAAGAAATGAAATACCGGGGTGATCCATGAAGTCACAGAGGTGATTTGTGGTGTCAAAGACAATAGATTAGTCAAGGAGACAAAGGACAGGGAAAGAGCTTATTTCTATAATAATTGGGAAGTCTACTGGTCTTTTTAGATGTGCTTGACAGAGAGAGAGAGGTGTGTGGGAGGAAATGAGATTTTAGGGGAAGACTAGATGGTGAGAAAAGTAATTTTCATAAATGAAGAATGAAAAAGTAAGAGTGTCAGTGTGAAAAGAAGATTCTCTTGGAGAAGTTGGGAGGGGACAGCAAAGGAATGAAGGAGACCAGTGTATAAATGAAGGGTGAAGGAAAATAACTTAAGCTTTGAGATATCAGCTAGTTTTAAAAATCATAGTCTTCCTTTTTTTCTATTTCTGACCTATTTTCATCTTCCTTCAGCTTTTGTAGGAACAAAGATCTTTTTTGAAAGCTTCTACTCCTTTTCATCATTATTTAATAATTGCTTCTACTTTTCAGAATTTACTAGAAAAGCTATTTCTTAGCCTTGGGAATGCAATAGCATTAAAGGTGCAAAACAGATGCTGTACTTTGAGCTCTTCCAAAGAAAAGCATTTTAGAAATCAAAGGCATCGCTATATTATCATTATTCTCTCCTTCCCCTGAAAGCCTGGAATGACATTATCTGTGATCTGCAAAGAGAAGTCTTTCATTTTAACTATTATATTAATAATCTGCGTCGCTGGAAAAGGAATGGGTATCTAAAACAGATCAACCTCGTCCAATAATTTTCTTTTTTCTTTGGTGCTATGGATCTGAGTCAAGAAGCAGAAATAAGATCATTGTAATGTATTTCTTCTTCCATGTAATTGTGTCCAGCAATGCATAAATTGTCAGAGCGTATGGCCAAGACTGTCAGCTCTAAGCAAGCAGCAATCCACAAACTCAACAGGTACTGAAAGGATGAGATGCTAACTCATGAATAATCTTTCTACATTTTTACATACTTATAATGCCAGTCACTTATTCTGATAATTTCCTTTCATATTTGAATAATGGAAAAAAGATAAAAATAAGTAATTTTGTAACTAAGTCACCAACATCTCTAAGAAAATTATATCCCATATTATCTATCAAAACAAAATTGAAGGGATCTTGACCAGGCTTACTGGTCAGACAGACTGATAGTACTCTCAAATCTATGGCCTTTAGATAAGTTTTAAGTCTAGAAACTAAGTTCACTACAGTAGTTCAACTTTCAACCAAACAATAGACAGGCAGTTAGTAACATCAGGGAGGTATACACTCTTAGAACTATCAACCATACAAGATCAAAAGAGCAGCACTTGCCCAAATGTAAAGATGAAAAGACCAGAAGAGATAGGAGGGAAGGACAGATGGAAATGGGAAATACAGGAAGAAGTGGGAAGATCGGTGTTGCATTGTGGGGATTGCGATCATGTCATGAAACAACATGTGCATGTATTTTTAAATGAAAACACAATTTGCTCTGTCAACTTTCACCCATATCATACTGAAAAGTTAAGAAAATAAACTTGAAAGGACTTTTAACACTTGGCAAACAATAGCAATAACAGAAGTAGCAGTATTTCTTCCACTTAGGTCATTCCATGAAAGCTATCATTCATAGGAAAATATCTAATAAAAGGGGATACAAATTTTAAACTGTAACTATAATCCATAGTTGGCACCTCAGGCGATTAAAAGTTTCTTGTGAATAATCAGACTTAAAAAGGAAGAAAACATGTTACCAGAAGGAAGATTCAATGTAATTCCAAGTTATTGATTGCTCATTATGTCCAATCATTTGATTTTGTGATTAAAGTAAAAAAAAGACAGATGCAATGACACATGTGAAAAAAAGCAACTTCAGCTTTTTTGTCTATTGGCCAGCTAAAATATATTCATGTCTTCATAGCGCCAATGTTAATTATAATAAAAGACAGGAGCTTATTTGAAAATAAAAAAGACTGCACAGAGATGAAAATTGAAGGAAACAAACCAAGTTGATACTAAGTCAGCACCACAAGTTAATAATACTCTCTTCCCCACTTTTGGAATTGAGAAAATAGATCCCACTGAAACATGGAGATATTTGGTGAAGATATCCTAAGGGTTGATAACAAGAAAACATCTTTGGTTACCTGAAAGCAAAACCAAATCAGAGCCCGATTTTTCTTTCTACGCTGGTGATGACATAGATAATAGGAGTTCTCTACATCGTCTGCTTCTTTGCATGTGAGAATGTAAACTCCATGTTTGGTTCATTGATGCATCCCAAGATACACAGAATCTGGGATACAGTAACCACTTGATAAATATCTCGTAGGTTGAATGGAAGTTATAGAACAAGGTGCCCATTGCATGATTTATTACAACAATCGCTCATAACAAAACTAAGACTAAAATCCACTCATTGCTTACTTCACATTTACAAAATACTGCAGTATCCCCACCTACTGCTCTGTGTCCATCAAGAATGGAAGCAGCTGTGAACCGGAGTCCACACTTATGCTCCCTCCCGGTGACTGACTAGGCTCCAAACCTCTGCCACCTCCTTACTCCTGTGGCTTGTTGGGTGTCTGGTACCCTAGGCCTCATTTCCACTGGGCATTATTGAAGTCAGAACTCCAGCTTCACAAAATAGTTTTCTATTTATTCCAAAGCACCCACAACTACATACTGTCAATAACTGACACATTCTGCCATCAAATTACTTATTAATTGTATTTGACACCTTTCCCTTACCTTCTGCTGGCTCCTGGGCTTGCTGTGGCATGAGAACCTGGAGGAGGTGGTGGTATCCAGGATTGTCTGTCAAGAAATGACATCAACTATAAACACCGTGCTCAAAAGGCCTGATCCCTCCCCACATGTCTGTAAAGAAAAGCTGAAAATAATTTGATAGTTAAAAAGGCAATGTAATACAAAACAGTATAGACAGACTGACTGACTACTACAAGAACAAGCAAGTTGCTTGCCCAGGAGACATCAAGGCAAGTGGTCGGGTCCCCTCAGAGCAAACCCCCTTCAAACATTAAGACTCAATGGGAATACACACTCTGATTGGTGACCACGTTTGTCACCGATAAGGGGAAGTGAGGGCAAAACAGCAATGAAGCTGGTTGGCCAGCAGTGTGGCAAGACCTGGGGACTCTTGGGCCCAGAGTCAGTGACATAGCCACAGAGGACTAGAATGGAGAGTGAAGAGTCCAGCTGATAAGAAGAGAGAGCGTATGCACAAGAACACCCACACTTGCAGATAATACCCACTTGATCTGGCTTCAATGACTGGATGATCAGAGCTCAAGTTGAAGAAGAAAGCAGAGGAAAAAAATAATAATC